TATATATATATATATATATATATATATATATCAGTCTGGCGAGTAAACAAAAACATGTACTAGCCAATGGCGATTCAATTGCCAAGGTGTTCGTAGAGGGCTGGGGAGCCCCTCATATTTCGCGCACTTGAACGCCACGGTAATTCCCATAGCAATGTAGAGTGACCGAATTCGAAAGGGAACTTCATTATGATCATAGACTGAATCGACCATACAGATGTTATTAGCTTGCACTCTGAACTATTTCTGCTTGTGAACTGAAAAAAAATAAAGAACTTAATACATTCTTTAATTTTGTCATAACCACCACACCTGAACTTTTGGAACTGGATGTGCTTGACAGATAGTTCATTATAAACAGACTTGGGATGTATGACAAATCTACAAAAGCCTGTAGGAGTCATAAGGATGTTGTATATTAAAATACAGCCCCGATTTGACAAACAACCACCTGCATTAACATTTAATGGGTAAGGGTCATCATTCCTTTTCATCATTTTTTAATCACTAAGAGATAGTTCAGCAAAAATTACTGTCATCATTTACTGCCTCATGTGGTTAAAAACTGGTATGACTTTTTTTTTCTTAAGAAGTTGTTTTGAAGAATGTAAAAAGCAGTTTTGGCTACTAGGCTATATGGACAAAAAAAAGTGCTAAGATGTTACTCCAAATATCTGCATTTGTGTTCCACAGAGGAAAAAGTAAAGTCATACAGGCAGGGCCGGCGTGAGCTCAACTGCTGCTCTAGGCAAAACCCTACCGTGCCGCCCCCACTACGTTTTAAAGAATGTTAGTGAATGTTCTGGGAACGTTCCCTGTTAGCTGGGACATTCACAATTAAACACGATCTTTAAGATGCATGTGAAAGACTGGAGATTTTGTTTATTGGTACAACTGCATTAAAATAAAGCAGACACGGGCGTGTTTTCTGATTATTATATTTTTTTCCTACTGCAACGTAAAAAAAAAGAATTTAATAAAAAATAACCACTAGTATAGCTGCAAAAGCAAATGAAGTGTATGTACAGGCCTGAAGTGGCCATGGGAAGATTTGGGAGAATTCCCGGTAAGCAGCTCGACAAACGTTGTTCAGAACAAGCTGGGTCAGGGTCCAGCACCTCCGAATTCCGATAACCTCATTTGGCGGACCCCCCTCCTCACGCACCATTGAAAGATGTTCGTGTCAGGGTTATTATAGTTTTACATTTTTAAATTCATTTTTATTTTAATATCGCTTTCAATTTATACTTTTATTGGTTTCATTAATCATTTTGTTAATTTTAGTTTAGTTTTTATTTAGTGAACAGATTTATAGCCTATTTAATTTTTATACATTTTAGTTTCAGTTTTAATTTTAGTTTTAGTAATTAAAGTTTAGCAGAATTAACAGAACACTTCCAGAGCGCAGACCAAAGACATTTTAATTTAAGCTTATTGAGGCAAACCTGTAGCGACACAAAATTAAAACATGCTGAGATTGATTAGAAAACGATTATTTATTTTTTATTATTATTTTTAGTTAGGTGTTCAATAGCTGTTGGTTTCGTTTCGTTTTAGTTTTTCATTTATTTTGAAATTTTTTTGTCTTTCTTTCTTTTGCCTTTTAGTTAAATACAGTTCTTAATACAACATATTTTACCGTTTAAACATGTATACAACATTTCTTACATTTAAACTCGTTTAACAAGCATTTTAGAAGTAAAAAT